GTGCAGCTGTTGACCGGATGAACTGACCTCGCAGACCGTAGTTTGGTGACCCCTGCGTTAGAGTAAAACTAACAGTAGAAAAGGAGATAAGAAGGACAATTTATTCCGTCAAAGCGTGGTTCTAAAGTAATTGAATCAGCCTGAGTGCACTTTGACAAAAAGAACAGGGGATATTTTAAAAGAAAGAAGACCAAACGATTACGATAACTCGCGCCACAATTGTAAGTGAATCAGACAGAGAATATTAGTGCGATAGTAATAGAGAATATAGTTCGGCTTGTCATCTGAAATTCTGAAGTAATTGATAGACCTAAGTGGACTTTTGACAAGAAAGAAATATCTATACATACAGTAGTTATGATGTGCCTATAATCTCTATATTGTGAAGAATTTGTTTTACATACGTTTAACTTGGTCCGAATATATATATATATTATTTTGATAACAAGTGAAGTGTGTGCTGTTAATTTGTCGTTGAATTTATCACTAACAAGTCACAGACACCTACCATAGAAGAATCCTAAGCTCAACAACAACACAGTATATATTTATATTAGAAAGAAATACAAGTAAAAGCCTTTTATTTTAAATTCTGACAGAGATATTGTTTTTACTACGCACTGTTTTTCAATCACCATGCTGAAGTTATAGGTTGAGGGCCTCAGACTTTTTTATACACACCAAGGGAGTCTCATACTAAAAGAGTTTGTGAACCACTGTTCTAGGAAGTAAAGATCCCCATTTTGTTTTCGAACGATAAGTGAGTGCACTAGTTACTACATTATGATAATCGTGATGTCGAGGAACCCACTTTCAAAAAAAAGAAATGTGGAGACTGCTGATTTAGGTGGCATAAAACTTTTTTATTGTAGGACACAGTTCAAACCTAACGATACTTCGACCTGTGTATATCATGAATAGTGCTTACAAAGTATTATATATAGATAGTAAAAATATTTTCTGGACGTAGTAGCTTACTTGGCCGTTAATATCATTATCAGAATTAATATATAATTTCGTTGTAAGGAACTGTTCTTGGGAAATAGTCTTGGTCTTGGAAATATTCAATGTCTGCTCGCTGAGCCCTGTAGAAATCATTGGATTGCTGTCACTTTGGCAATAAGATATGCCATCAAGACAAGGGTTACTACAGTCTTGTATAGAAACTGCTCGTTAACATGTGCAGGCTAAATGGAAATGAAAATATCATTAATATTGGAATTAATCGCGTGTATTTTATATACATAATGAGTAATTATATCCAATTTGATTTGAACAACACATAATTACTAAATGTGATGTAAGACATGGACCTCACCTGTGGTGAATGATATATAGAAGTATCAGTAATTTGAGGGTTAACAATAACTTATTACTTTTAAAACGAGTTACAAAAAAGTTTATATTTCTTGTTTAACATATTTATTAAGGGAAATTTTTACAAAAAAGACTTTAATTTGCGCATGAATATTTTAAACTAATAATATTTTGTATTTTAGCTCAAAGCTACACTATGGGCTATATACAATCTGCCCACCGCGGGGAATCAAACATTGGATTTTAGAATTGGAACTCCGTAAAATTACCGTTGACCCACGGGAAGATTTGAACTGTAACGAAAAGAAAACATTATTATAAGCCTCTTTTGTAGTTTTTAAGTTTTAGGCTAAAGGAAAGAGAGCGAGAAATTATTGGAGATTTTAACAATGCTTTCATTAGTCGGTTTTCAATGTGAGTTAGAAGCCTGAAATGTCATCCTTAAACAGTTTATAACCTACAAAAGGGTACACCTTTACTGTTTCTGAAGAGATCCTCTTTTTTCAGATTAACTCACGTTCTGATAAAATACCTTATAAGAAATAACGCCCCTAAGGTACGTTATCATGGTTCTAATATTTATGATCACTAAAGTCTAATTATTGATCATCTACTAAGAAGTATCGTTTCTAGTAGAAGGGGCTGGGATTCGATTCTGTATTTTTTTTTTTTTTTCTTGAAACGCTAATACTCTCTCAACTCATTGGGGACTGTTGGAATTAACTATTTGAATGTTTACAGTATGGGATATCCAAGTTTTGCTTACTTTTACTCTAGGCTGACTGTGTTACATATAGGTGGCTTCTTTCATATTTTTCTCGTGGTTTGGTATTATTCCAATTTATTGTATAACCATCCTCTCTAACGCGATAAGCTGTTGCAGATGTATGTTTGTTGTGTTGCAGAATTTTAACTGGACATAAATGTTTTTATTCTTTTGTAGGTGTTTCGGTGGTTTTGTGTGTGAGCTGGTATTGTGTTGTGGCTTTTGTGCCATATTATTTCCGTGTCTTTTCGGAGAAACCTATGACATAGTGGAATATGGTTTTATGTCTAAAATTTTCTTCGTGCTATTTATACAGACATGCGATGGTTTTATTGTCTTGACATTTTTACACGTTCTACAGTAATTCCTGTACGCTGCATCCGAAAATGATATCCATTTTTCTCCATAACGTACACAATTTTCACAAAACGTCATAACGCAATACATAAGAGAAAGACCACAACACGTAGTTTTGAGACTAATAGACGTAGATTTCAATAAAATCTAGATGAATGAGGATGCATATTTGTTTGAAATCAATGTTCTTCCCTTTTCTTCTAGTTTTTTTTTTTTTTTTTTGTTAATAAACATAATAATAATAATGAAATTCACTGTGGTAAACGAAATAATAATTAGATCTAAGTAAGAGTTTTTCTTCCCGATTAGTAAAAAATCGTTACGTGATAGAAAAAAAAATTATATTATTTTCGAAATCTGCGTAGCTGAATTACGGAAAATCCGTTATTAAAACCAAAACAACTTTTATGAAGCTTAAATTCGCAGGCCTGTGTTATTGGAGTTTATCTTGTGTTATT